TTTTTGAGGGGCACAGACAGGACTCCGCACGCACACACACACTAAAAAAAAAAAAAAAAAAAAAATTTGCTTCCACAAAAGGGCACTTTGGGCACATTCCTTACACATTCCCACAGTCACTGAATAAGCATCTGTGGCACAAATAAGCTTCAGGGACTGACTTGTTTTTTAGAACCGACCTTTGATAGTTGGATGTTGGCTTAATTTTTACCCAAAGAGAAATTTGACCCTAATAATAATTTAAAAAAAAAACAAAAAACACGATACTGTGGTGAATACTTACCTCAACTTTGATGGTTTTTTCACAGCTATTTATTTAGAAAAAAAGTAAACATGTTACAAGGACACAATGCACATTGCAGAGTACATGAATGGGAAGTAGGAATTCCTCCTCTCTATACTTACACTCCTCCCTAACAAATGCCAAGTCATCATCTCCATATTGTGTGTCCTACTTTTCGAGTTTCATTGAAGTGTATCCAAGTGCACAAGATGAAAAACATTCTATTAGTTTTTAAGCCTCTTACATTTTTTGTTGGACACAAGAACAACTCGAGCATCTTTCTTTCGGGAGCCGAACTAGGGCTTACAAGTTTGCCGTGCCCCTGGGGACCAGTGCGAGGTTGTGCAGCGTGGAGGGTCCAGACACTCCCACGGCGCAGACTTTGCTATCCGCACAGAGCGTTTCTGGTGTGGCTTATGCAGAAGAGACAATACAGCTCCCGATAAGCATGTCTGTTGTAGCCTGCCCTTTATAAATATCTCTTTGATTATTCAAACAGTGTTTAAATTGTGACTCGGTTGTTATCCAAAAACATTTTATCTATGTTACTGATTTAAAATATACAGATATATATTTCAAGTTTTTAGCTCAAACAGACTCTTGAGCATATTCATATAGCAAATCCACATAACCAGTGTGGAGCCTAATGTACATCTTTGAACTGTATGTTAATCAGTACATGAAGCGTACCTCTGAAAAGAGTCCATCATTTGTGAATTTACTGATTTGTTTTTTAACTGCAGTTTTCACAAACTGCGGATGATGAAATCCTCTGTATTGTAGAAAATGTCTTTAAACTATCGCTGTTCCTACTTACTGAGTTCCCGAGCTACTTCTTTACTATGTGAATAAACAATTTGAACGAGAAAGGATTTAAAGACACATTGAAGCAAAGGCAAAAAAAAATTTGTAAAGAAATTTATGTGACCATTATGTGAGGTCACGGCAGGAGTTCCCTGAGTTGACACGTATGAACCATAAAGTCAGTTTGGACTGAGGAGCAGTTGATAAACTGCATTCAGTCTTGACAAAATTACTTTTTTATCCAAAGCATGCACAAGAAATCAAATCTCTGTATCACATTGATTTCAATAAAGTCTTATTATTTTATGGGGGCAATATCACAAATTACCGTAGATCATTAATAGGGAACAAAAAAGGAGGAACACATCAGCAATAGGAGACAGAAATTTTGACACGTGCTTATAACTTAAAACACAAGAAACCCAGTTACAGCTGCTAAGATTTATGGTATAAACCAGACTTTCACAGTCTGCATCTTTACAGGGTTTTTTCTGCTTTTGTTCACTCCTAGTGTGATTAACAAACAACAACCACAAACACAGAGCCCACTAACTATTAGCCGCTTTTCCCCCTAAACAGTCAGTTGACTGACAGAAATGCAATCCATTATTGTGAACGCTGAAGGAGATGTGCTCCATAGTCAAACTTATATTTCCTTAACTTACATCCTATATTCTGTTTAATTCCGGTATCCCTTTGATGGAAAATTGGTTAAACCATTGCTCAACTTATGTCTGAATGACAGCAGATAATTCTGATGAAAAGGAAACTGACCACGTAAGCACTTTGCAGCTGAGTCGAGGGCTCGTGGAAATAAGGTCAGGAGGAGTCCGGCGTGAGTACGGCCTGACATTCCATTTGGGACATCTGACAGACACATTAGTGGATAGTGGTTAAGGCGAGAGATTGCTATTCTGTCTTTTACAACGGTACAAAGGGAGGACTAAATGCCGCTTTAAAACAGTTCAGGTATCTTTGTGTTTACGGGGAGAAGTGAATAACTGGGGCCGAGGCTCTGAAAAGAGACGGTCGCTTCACCGATGGGCCTGGGCTACTTTGAGCTGGTTAACATCGACGACGAACGTAAGACTGAGTGCACAGACATAATTGATTGTCTGGACAATAAGAAATTCCAGATATGTTTTCCACAGGGAGCAGATACGGAAATAAAAGATGTAGCCATTCCAGGGCAGCAGAAACCTCCACACGCATCAAATAATGCAAAGCGCAGCGGTGGAGTGACATCAGTCTTAGATGTAGCACGGCAGAACGGATTGAGTCTAAAAACAGCAAAGAAATGGGCAGCAGCAATGACTGTAAGAAGGTTTACAATCGACTTTGTCAGCAGTATCCGCGTCTGAAACGATGGATGGAGAGTAGATTTCCTAAAAATTCTTTCCAGGAAGCACTGAAAAACAGGAAGGAGAACTTTGGAAAGAGACGACAGTCTTTTACTGAAATTCGCAGTGTTATGTTGCTGCTCGAACTGCGCGAGTCAGTTTGTCTCATAACTGGTTCCTTCATAAAGCAAGGCACAGGCTTTGTGCTATTTGACAACTTTGTCTTGACCGACGCCCACTTATTCGACTACTGGGTTAAATCAAACTCACCTAACTGGCATGAATTTGTAAACGTTACCGTGGTCTTTAACTTTGAAGACCAAGAATCAATCAGGAACAACCTCAGCGCTCAGGTGTTCATCGGCAACGATAAGTTAGATTATGTCATACTTAAGCTGGAAACAGAGAAAGTGCCGCCGGGGCTCCTTAAGAGATTTGGGCCTGAGCCTTCAGACGGCGAGGCCTGTTTCGTCGGACACCCAGGAGGAGGAGTGAACAAAACGAGTCCCACGTGCGTCATCGAGAAAGAGAGGCGAGAGAATAATGAAAATGTAGAAGACTGCGAGGAATTTTGCAGTCTTTGTGAAATTAATCAGCAAATCAAAAACGACCCGTATGAAAATATCTACGTCACCTACAACACTCTCATGCACCACGGCTCTTCCAGCTCCCCGGTTTTCGATGCAGAGGGACAAGTGTTTGGTCTGCACAGTGGTGGGTTTTTCTACGGGTTTCCGAATCTTAGCGAGAATGTGTTATGTGAAGGCTGTGTGCACGCAGGGGTGGTGACATGAAGGACCCAAAATGCAGACTCAGGAAATCAAAGGTGAACTTAAATACAGCTTTAATGTTAAACTCAAAA